AAGTGGGAGGGACTTAGCCTTCAAGTGGGAGGGACTTAATCCTCAGGTGGGAGGGACTTAGCCTTCAGGTGGGAGGAATTTAGCCCCATGAACTGAGCCCCGACAATGAAGAGTTCTGTTGTGGGTGGCTTTGGTGACCATGATAAGACTGAAGATGGTGGCAGTGGCAGTGATGGGATGCACACAGTGGGATAGGGAAGGGATGGTTTGGGAGAGGTTGGCTCCCGTGGATGGCTGTACTGCAGTACATGAATCCTGATTTTGACGGGGTGTGGGGGGTACTAATAATCATCTGTTGTTCCCTGCCCCTTCCCAGAGCCCCTCAAGGCGCTCACCTGCTCCCTGACCAGAGGTCCCCCCAGGGCCCTTCCCCACAGGAAGATGCGGCCAACTTCCAGGTGCTGGTGAAGATCCTGCCTGTGCTGGTGACGCTGGTGCCCTACTGGATGGTGTACTTCCAGGTGTGCCCCCTTCCGATTGGAGTCCTCTCCCCTGGGCGCTGTCTCCCTGGGCTCCTCCCCCAGGAGGCCCCATGGCCAGCTCGGTCCCAGTCTCCCCTCACCTCGTCTCCCCGCACAGATGCAGTCCACCTACGTCCTTCAAGGCCTTCACCTCCAGATCCCCAACATCTTCCCAGTCCCTACCAACACGTCCGTGGCTCTGAGCACCCAAGGCAAAAGCTACAAGGTGAGACAACGGGGTGCATGCAGCACCCAGCTTGGGCCAGGTGGGGGTCTCGTCTGAGAAGGGGAAGGGAGGCTTCCTGCACACAGACGCTGGTTTGTGAGGAGGTGCCCTGGAAGCTGGAGCATTGGGCTGTGGCCACAGAAAGGCTCAGATAGGGGCTGGAGTGATAGCACAGCAGGTAGGGCGTTTGCCTTGCATGTAGCCGACCCGGGTTCGATTCCCAGCATCCCATATGGTCCCCTGAGTGCTGCCAGGAGTAATTCCTGAGTGCAGAGCCAGGAGTAACCCCTGAGCATCGCCAGGTGTGACCCCCCCAAAAAAGAAAGACTCAGATGCTCCCAGAAATAGTCGGGCAGCTTCACCTGCTGCCCATCAGTCCACAGCGCCACCCTTCCTTGGTTTCACCCTCTCAGGGTGTCGGGATGCCCAGGTCTTTGCCTTTCAGCAGTTTCCACACCCATGCCCTTCCCTTTCCTGGCCCAGCACGTCAGAGCTCTGCAGAGCAGGTGGCTGAGGGCTGGAGAGATAGGAACAGGGAGAAAGCATTGGCCTGGCTTGCAGCAGAACTGGGTTTGGTCCCCGACATCCCATACAGCTCCCCGAGGACTGCTAGGAGAAATCCCTGCACTTAGAGACAGGAGTGAGCCCTGAGCACCTCCTGATATGGCCCCCAAACAAACTGAAACAAAGCAAAACAAAACAAAACAAAAAAACACAGTCAGGGGGCTGGAGCGATAGTACAGTGAGTTGGGCATTTGCCTTGCATGCAGTCATCTTGAGTTCAATTCCCGGCATCCCATATGGTCCTCCAAGCACCACCAGGAGTAATTTCTGAGTGCAGAGCCAGGAATAACCCCTAAGTATCACTGGGTGTGACCCAAAAAGCAAAAAGCAGCAACAACAACAACAACCAGTCACCTAGTGACAGACCTTCCCTGCACCCTTTGTGGCCCGAGGCGGGCACCCCTTCTTGTGGTCATCCCTTGATCCCATCCCGGGGGCTTCAGGAGAGGGAGTGGGCTGGCCCTGGGTCAGCCTGCAGCTCTCTGCGAGGTCACCCCTCGTGGTCCCCCTCCCACCCAGTTCCCGGAAGCCTGGCTCTTCTTGGCCAACGTGGTGGTGCTACTGATCCTGGTGCCCGTGAAGGACCACCTGCTCGACCCCATGCTCCTGCAGTGCAAGCTGCTGGCCTCACCCCTGCGCAAGATGGCTCTGGGCATGTTCTTTGGCTTCGCCTCTGTTGTGGTGGCAGGTATGGGGGCCTGAGGGACAGGGAGGTGGGGAGGCTGGGGCCAGGGAGGGGGGTGGACTCCACTCGGGACTGGGTCAAGGGCGCCCTCCCAGAAGGTGCAAGCCTCACTCCCAGGGCGCCCAGCCTCCCTGCTTTAGACAGCCGAGAGGAAAAGGGCTTCCTTGGCCAGATAGAAGCACCCAGAAGGCATGCACTTCCGTCCGCTGACCTGGTCCCACACAAAGTACAGGACAGACGAGCTAGGGTGATGGTGCAGGGCGCAGGGGTGCGGGTTTGATCTGTGACAATGCACACCCCCCTATGCCCACCCCTGCCACCCTAAGCACTGGCACCCCAGGCCCTAGTACCGAGCTGGCTGAGAATTAGCTTCCAGGGTCTCTGAACCCCGCTCGGGAGGCCCCCAAATGAATCCATCAGCACAATGTGCTGAAAGGGTTTTGCAAAGAGAGACTGTCACTGAATGGACCATGGGGGCCTGTTTCCCGGAGCCATCGATTCTCTGCGTCTTTCCCTATCCAGAGGACTTGGGCGTCACTCACGAAAGGCTGAAGCAGCCTTTGTTTTTTGTTCCTCTTCCCAAAGCCTGTCAGCGGCTCTCACTGGGTCACTTCCTGATTCTGAAGATGTTCAGAGTGGAGGAATCCCGATCTTGATGACAGGGGCGGTCATTCACCCAAGCCCTGGGCAGGGCCGGGTGAGCTTGGCAGGGGTGCTGGGAGGGCCGAGCGAGGTGAAGCCCCCATCCCTGGCCCCATCCCTGCCTCACAGTAGGAGCTAGAGGGATGGAGGCTTAATCCACACTGTTGTACAAACAGGCTGGGAACCCAATGAGATCCTTTCCCCTGCTGTATGCTGGAATGCAATTCAGTTCCATCTAAATTCCTGCCTCTTGCATAAAGAAACTGGCTGTCAAGGCAAAAAGGAAAGAGGTGGAACCCAGATACACACACACACACACACACACACATACACACACACACACACACACGAACAAGTGCACACTCGTGCGCGCGCGCGCACACACACACGCACGCAGAGCAGGACTAGCTGGAACCTTCTCTCCCGCCCTGCAGGGGTCCTGGAACGCACCCGCTTACGGTATGTCCAGCGCAAGTGGATCATAAAGCAGTACATCGGGGACAACCTGTACACCGCCGCATCCCTGTCCATCTGGTGGCAGGTCCCTCAGTACCTGCTCATTGGGATCAGTGAGATCTTTGCCAGCATCTCAGGTACCGGGGCCCCCTCTCCGGCCCTCCCCACCAGAGATGGGCTTGGGCTGCTCCCATGGGCAAGTCAGGGCTTTTCCCTGTGCATACAGGAAGGCAGGTTCTGGGCACTGACTGGCCCTTGGTGTGGGCCAGGCCCTGGGCCCAGGCAGTGGGGTTTGGAGGTGATGGAGACAGTCAGCATCCTGCCACGCCATACTCTTCACCCTGAAGCTTTGCAGTTACCGTTCCTCTCTGCTCCCCCCCCCCCCCCCCCCCGAGACTAGAGGGCTGACCCAAGAACCCAGATTCAAGGGGCCCGAGAGCGCAAGAGGGGAGGGGTGCGAGTCCTGGGGAGGGGGGAGTCTGGGAGACGGGGCTCATGGTATCCTCTCACGCCTACCATTGTCCCCAGGGCCCTTTTGGTGGGGCAGGAGCAGGTTACAGTTGTCCCTGACTCGCGTGGCTGTATGAGGGTGCGTGAGATGGGGCTGTAGCAGAATTGGCAGGGGTGAGGTAGAGCGGCAGGGGGTCACCCGGGGCAGAGGGGGGGAGGGTATGCTGGGATTTCTGAGGATGAATTAGTGCTTTGGTAGGGGAAAGGGAAAGGGCAGAGAAAGGTGTGAAGAGTTGGCTAGGGCGCTGGAGTGATAGCACAGCGGGTAGGGCATTTGCCTTGCACGCGGCCAACCCGGGTTCGACTTCCAGCATCCCATATGGTCCCCTGAGCACCGCCAGGAGTAATGCCTGAGTGCATGAGCCAGGAGTAACCCCTGAGTGTTGCTGGGTGTGACCCAAAAAGAAAAAAAAAAAAATTTGGCTAGTGCTAGGTGACCACCCCCAACACAGAGCTCTTGGGGTGAGCTGGGTGGGGGAGGGGCTTGTGGGTGCATGGAGGGCGGGGGCTGGGTCTGCACCCTCCCAGAGCCTCCCTTCCTCCCCCCCCCCCCCCCCACAGGCCTGGAGTTCGCCTACTCGGAGGCCCCTCGCTCCATGCAGGGCGTGCTTATGGGCCTCTTCTTCTGCCTGTCGGGCGTGGGTTCCCTGATGGGCTCTGGCCTGCTGGCCGTGCTGACACTGCCTGGGGCCTGGATGCACTGCCCCCAGGATTCTGGTGAGTAGGAGCGGGGGGTCTCAAAGGTTGGGGGTGAGGGTGGAGTGGCGGCCAAGTGGCAGTGGAGAAGCGACAACAGCATCCCCCTCCAAACTGGGCCACACCCAGCAGGGCCTTCCCAGATTTGGGCCTCAGTTTCCCCCAATGCCAGAAAGGAAGGCTGGAATTCAGTGGTCCCCCAGGGTTCCTGGGTGCATCGGGATCGCGGCCACCTCCCTGGTGGGAGGGAAATCAGAGCCACCGGAAGAGGTGGCCTGGTACTGCCAGAGAGATGGCAGAGGGGACTCCCCCCCCCCCCCCCCCCCGCCCTGGGGATGCCCCGCCCCCACCTAAAGGCTGCCCCTCTGTCCCCCCAGGGAACATCAACAACTGCCAGATGGACCGCTACTACTTCCTGCTGGCCGGCATCCAGGCAGCCGCGGCCCTGTTGTTCATCTGGATCGTGGGGTGCTACGAGCGGGCAGCCCAGGACCCAGCCTCGCAGGGCACCCCCAGCAGGGACCGGGGCTGAGCACGGCCCCCCCAGTCCCGCCCCCCAAACACACAGACAGTGAGGGAGGAGCCCCAGGTTTCCGTCTCAGTTTATTCTGTACCCGACATCAGGATGAAAGTGGTTCCCATAAATAAGGGGGGCTGGAGCCCTTCCTCACGACCGTGGTCCGTGATGGGGGGGGAGGGGCAGGGCGGAGGGGCCAGGCAGGGGACTTGGATCAACGAGCACCGGAGGAGAAGTGGGGCGCCGCGGGGCCCGGGCGTGGGGGGTGGGAGGGGGGCGCGGGGGTCAGGAGCTGCCCCGGATCAGCTCCATGTAGCTGCGCAGCTCCTCGGGGTCCTTCAGCCCCATGTCCTCACACACCCAGCGGATGTCCTCCTCGCCCGCCACCAGGATGGACTGGACCGCGGGCGCCCCCGCAGCGGGCTCCTCGGGCATCTCGGGCATCTCGGCCGGGGGCACCGGCGCAAACGTCACAAACTCCACCCGCTTCCGCCGCCCCCCGGCTTCCTTGCGGGTCAGGGTGCTGGGGGAGTTGGTGGTACCCCCGGCAGGAGCCGGGGCCGGGGCCGAGGCCACGGGCAGGGGGTCCCCTCCTCCCCGGCTCTCGCAGGGGCGGCCCCCCTCCCCCTTGGCTGGCCCAGGGGACTGCCGGTCCAGCTGGCGGCTGAGCTCCTCCTGGTCCGTGCCCAGCCAGACCCAGTTGTGGGGCTGGGGGGAGGTGGGGTCGGTGGCACTGTCGGGGGGCTCCTTGCGCTGGTAGCGCAGCACGAAGACCACGCCGTTGACCAGGAAGATGAGGATGGCCAGGCAAAAGATGCCCAGCAGGGCGTACATGCCCAGCTCGAGGTCGGTGACCCGCTGAGGGGCAGGCACCATCTCTTCCTCTTCCTCCTCTTCTTCCTCCTCCTCCTCCTCCTCCTCCTTCCTGGCCTCCTCCTCCGCCCGCTCGAACTTGCTCCTCACACCCCCCGTGTCCTCCGGCCCGTCCGGTGCCCGCTGTCTCCCCCCCAGGCTGGCCTCTGTGACCGGTGACCCCCCGGCAGGGCTGGGGGGGAGAGCCGGGACCGGGGTACGGGCGCGGGGCAGCCCCAGCCAGGCCGTGCCAGAGGCCAGGGGGACTCGGTGGCGACCCCGGCGGCAGGGCTCGGGAGGGTGCAGCGCCACGTGCAGGGGCAGCCCCTCGGGCCCGGCCCCACTCACCACCACCCCGAGCGGGGTGCCCCGCTCCTCGGCAGGCAGGACGGCGCCGGGCTCTTCGGCCGAGACGGACAGCCCCAGGTCCCGGTGGTCGTAGAGCTCGGCGGGCGCCAGCGTGTGGTCAGAGAAGGACAGCCACAGGGACAGGGCCACCTCCTGCGGGACACACGGACGGACGCAGGCAGAGACAACGCGAGAGCACGCACGCATGCACGCACACAGACCGCGCCCACAGAGACAGGCCACACGGAGGGGACAGCAGAGAGGACAGACACAGGCGGTGGACAGAACACAGGGAGAGAGGGGGCGTGTGTCAATCGCCTTGGCCCCGGGGGGGACCCCAAGCTCTCGGGATGGTGCTCAGTGAGGGTCACCTGCCGACCAGCCACTCCCCCTCCCCCCTCCCGCAGAGCTCACCGCCTCAGCGGGCACTCGGTCCTTCTATCTCGAACCCCCATGCCAGGGTCGGGGTCCCTCCCAGGACCCTGCATCGGTCCCCATCCGCAGATGTGGACCTCCTCCTCCCTCTTGCCCATCCCCCCCCCCCCCGGGCTGTCACCTGCTTTGGGGCAGGAAGGGCTGACTGTGCCCAGCACGTGGCCGTGACCTCCCCGGGGTGGGCAGTGCCCCGGCTTAGGGCCAGAGAGATGCCCATCACGGGCTGCACCCGCAGCTCCAGCAGCGACACCTTGTCATCCGTCACGGCCAGGGCCTGCTCGCCCAGGATGGAGTCGGAGAGCGGGGACCGCACCTTTGGGGGGGGGGTGGAGAGAGCCGCGGGTGGGGATCTCACCCCCGAGGGACCTGGTTTCCGGTCCCCTGCATCCTCGAGGATGCTTCCGTCCGCTCTCTGGGCCCCCACCGCACCCGTGGGGCTTCCCTCTGCTCCCCAGACTCGGGTACCACGCACCCCGCACGCTCCAAGGTAGCCGGTGCGCGAATCCCTGCAGCGGGCTGGCACCATGCCAGGCACTGCCCTCCGCCCCGCAGGCTCGCTCCACACCAGCCCCTGGCACACTGCAGGGCAAGGGTGGGGTCTCGCCGACCCTCGTCTCGGGGCATCCGCTTACCTCGATGGAGGTGACGCCGGGCTCCCGGCCCACCAGGACGCGGCCACCCTCCAGCGAGGCCACGCGCGGGTCCTGCACACGCGCATGCGGCGCCACCAGGTGGGTCACGTCCAGCAGCCAGTCGGGGCCGAGCAGGTGGGTGAGGCGGCGGCCGCCGTCCAGCGGGTGGGCCGCGAAGGGGACGAGGAAGCGCACGCCGGCGCGCTGGTACTGCAGGCGGCAGCCGCGGCTCCGCGCTGCTGCCTCCTCCGTGGCCCCGGCCTCGGGCTCCAACACGCTGCTGGGGGCCGGGACCGAGGGGGCGTGGCCATCAGCTCAGGCCCCGCCCCGCCGAGCCGCAATTTTTTATTGGATGCACGCTCTCCAAGCTCCGCCCACCCACAGCCAACACTCGAAGGGCGGGGAAGGAGGGGGCAGGACTCCAGTTCAGTTTCTGATTGGTGCCAGTGGCCATCCTTCACCCACTCTGGCTCCCGATTGGACGGGAGTGGCGGGGGGCGGGGCAGAAGTAGAGGAGACTCGCCAACCCTGGAAGCTCACGCTCAGGATTAAGGAGTTTGGGACCTAGGGTCACCGCACACTAACACCCTCCTTAGCAGTTACTGAGGCTTTGGGCTCCTAGTGGAGGGGGTGGCAGCGCACAGACGAGCTTAATCGGTACAGAGCACATTAGAAAAAAATCACTGTAGGGGCTGGAGCGATAGCACAGTGGGTAGGGCGTTTGCCTTGTACTTGTCCGACCGGGGTTCTATTCCCAGCATCCCATATGGTCCCCCGAGCACCGCCAGGACTCATTCCTGAGTGCATGAGCCAGGAGTAACCCCTGTGCATCGCCGGGTGTGACCCAAAAAGCAAAAAATAAAAGAAAAAGAAAAGAAAAATCACTGTAAGTACCACGGAGAGAGTGAGCAGGGCTTAGCAATTTCGAGTGAAGGGATGGGAGGGCAGGCAGGGAAGGGCAGACCTGGGCAGGAGGGGCAAGAAGCTTTCCGGACCCCATTCTGAGCAGACGGCTGCGTGGCCTGCGCCTTCTCTCTGTCCCGGGGCCCGCCGGCGTCCCCCCCAGCTTGCACTCACCCCTCGGCGGGGCCGGGAACCCTCCAGCCGCGGACCTGCTCCAAGGTGCTGTCGGTCAGCTCGATGCGCAGGGGCAGCAGCGGGGCCCACACAGTCAGCCGCAATGACGCCCGCAGCCGGCGCCACCAGAAGTCCACGCGCACCCCGCGCCCGCCCCGGTTCTCCTTGCCAGCCACAAACACAGCGTCGCAGGCCTCGGAAACCTGCAGGGGCGTTGGCAGAGGTCAGGGGTGGGCTTGGCGCCCAGGGGGCAGGTGTCACAAGTGGTAGAGCTCATGCCCTTCGCGAGATCCTGGGTTTCACCACCAGCACTGTTGATCGCCAGCACTGCTGGGTTCCTGGCTTCCTGCCAGGAGCGCCCTCTCCCTCCAATTATTTTTTTCCCATAGAAAAGAGTAACAGGGTGTCCCCTAAATCATGTCACAAATAGAAGCCTTTTGATTTTGGGTAAGGAGGGAAACCTGTACTTACTTACAACAGACTCCCCCTGCAGAAGAGGTTTTTTTTTGGGAGGGGGAGTGTTTGGGTTTTTTGGGTCAAACCTGGCGATGTACAGGGGTTACTCCTGGCTTTGCACTCAGGAATGACTCCAGGCAGTGCTCGGGGAAGCATATGGGATGCTGGGAATCGAACCTGGGTCGGCTGCATGCAAGGCAAATGCCCTACCTGTTGTATTATCACTCCATCCCTCCTGCAGAAGAGTTTTAACCCATAAATCTGACTCATGCTGGCCTCGCATTTGGTACTGGAGTCCTGGCCACTGAGCGGAAGTAGGGCGGCAAAGGTGGAGGGCGAGAGTCATTTAACATTGGCCCGGTGCCAGCCAGGGTGGGCAAAGATGCCATCCCTCCTTGAGAGGGTTTGAGCAGATGCAGGCTCCAGGCTTCCTGTTTAGAACTTCCCAGAGGAGAGAGTGATCCTGCCCTTCTTTTACCTTCTCGGACACCATGGAGCCCAGTAATTATCATCCTGCCAGTATATAATTATTCCATTACTGTAATAGCATGGACTCTTACTCTCGGCTGGGTCCTATCCTGGGTTGCTTTCGGCAACCTTCCAGTACTTTCCCAGTGCAAAGCTCAGGAAACGGAGGCTCTGGGAGGCTACAGGGCTTGTCTTCAAGAAGTGGATACCTGGGATGGGTTTTGAGTGACAACCTCCTGAGTTCTGTGCATGCTAGTGACTCAGCCCCAGCGCTGACAGGGATGACAATAGACATCATGATCGTGACAATGCCTGTGTGAGAGGGGGGCAGGAAGACAGACACTACCCCGCCTCCCAACCCAGCACCCATCTAACACTGGAGAGAGGTGAAAACCCATGAGATTTCTGGGACCGGGGCTGGAGCAATAGCACAGCAGGTAGGGCATTTGCCTTGCATGCAGCAGACCCGGGTTCGATTCCCAGCATCCCATATGGTCCCCTGAGCACTGCCAGGAGTAACTCCTGAGTGCATGAGCCAGGAGTAAGCCCTGTGCGTTTCTGGGTGTGACCCAAAAGGGGAAAAAAAAGAGAGAGAGAGAGAGATTTCTGGGACCATGAAGCTGGTCTCTGGGGGACCTGGAGGCAGGACTCACCTAAGCTGGGCACGTACCAGCCACTCACCTGCAGGACCTGGGTGTTGGCGGACTCGCAGCTGATGTGCTCAGTCACCTCGGCCAGAGCGCCCCCACCTTCCACGGTGACGAGGCGCACGGGGATACGCCGTGGCAGGCCAGTGAGGGGCGCCGTGTTCACCAACTCTTCTGCCTGGGGCCAGGGTGCAGGGGGAGTTCAGCCCCTGCCTTTCCCCGCTACACACACCCAGGCTGGCCCGGCAGTGGTGGGGACCCCTTACCTTGGCCAGGGGAACAAGGGCTCTAATGTCCCGTTCTGACACCAGCACCTCCCACACCATCTTGTCCTTCTCTGCTTCGGGGGCCTGGCCGGGGTACTCCAGCTGCCAGGTGACAGGCCGCGTGGCCGCCACGCCCCCACCAGTGCTGTTTTCCACGGAAAAGTCTACCCACAGGAACTCGGATGGCTCGCGGGTACTACGGGCGGGAAGAGAGTCTGAGTGTGGGCTGGCAGCCATGTGCCCATGCCCTGGTGACTGACCTGCCCTGTATTCATGCATGACATGGGTTCTGGGATAGATGGATCGATGGATGGATGGATGGATAGATGGATGGATGGATGGATGGGTGAGAAGGTGAATGAGTGGGTAGATGGATGGATGGGTGGGTGGACAGAACAGATGGATGGGTGAATGGGTAGGTAGGTAGATGGATGATGGATGGATGGATGGATGGATGGAAGGATGGATGGATGGGCGAATGTGTGGATGAATGGGTGGGTGGGTGGGTGGGTGGTTGAGTGGTGGATGGAAGGATGATGGGTAGATGGGTAGATGAATGGATGGGTGAATGTGTGGATAGATGGGTGAGGGGGTGGATGGACTGATGGGTGGGTGATGGGTGAATGGATAGATGGATGGATGGATGGGTGGATGATGGGTAGGTAGGTGGGTGGATGGACAGATGAATGGGTGGGTGGGTGTCTGGATGATACTAATATCTGCTTTGAGCCACTTCCCTGAAGGGATCTCTTCATGTTCTGTGCCCATGGAAATATGAAGGTAGTGGGGCACGTTCTTCCCTGGCCCCCCTAAATCACAAGCATGCTAGGACCAGCAAGCCCTCCAGGGCCTCCCAGGGGGAGGTGCCCACCTGGAGTCCAGCGCCGCAGACTCAGCCCGGTGGCAGGTGATGAGCGTGGTGTGGTGCTTGGAGCCCTTGAAACGGTCCAGCTTGGCAGTCCAGAGGGTGGGCTGGGCCAGGCGGGCGGCTGTCACGTGCAGCCCCTTCTTCACCTTGATCCTGAGGTGGGGGAAGACACAGGTCCCAGGGGTCAGGGTGGGTGTGTGATTGGGTGCTGGGTGGGAGGGGAGATTCGGGGGGGGGGGGGGACTTGATTGGCATCCCCTCCCTGCCATCCTGAGACCTGGATCCCCACAGGCCACAGAGATGGCATCTCCCATTCAGAAACCACCCCTGACTTCCTGTGGCCACAAGGTCAACTCTTAGCCTTGGGACACCCCCGGAGCTGGCCCAGTGCCCATGCCTACCCTACACCACGGCTCCCATATGCTCCCCAGTGGCACTGCACACCGTGAGGGTATGCTTAGGCCGTGGCTGCCACCTGACTGCCCTCCTTTCTCCCTTCCGGGAGGCCCCAGCTCCAACCCCACCCCCTGGAGAAAGCTTTTCCTGCACGACCCCCTACTGCCGCACTTCCTCCTTCCCTCACCCAAGCCCCTGCAGCTCCATCCCCTCATCAGAACCCAGGGTCCAATTCATGCCTCTCTTAACTCCTATCCCTCCGCCTGGGGCGTCCCTTAGCGCCCAGTGGGGACTGGGCCTGCCCGCTGCTCCAGAGTGAAGACCCGGGGCTGGGAAGCCGAAGCGTGTCCAGGAAAGACCTATCGAGGGCGCCCAGGAGCAGAGGGGGCCAGAAGAGCAGGGAGCTGGGGCACCGCTGGGACAGCAGAGGGACAGCCCGACCCAGAGAGAAGGTGCTTGCCTGGAATGCAGCCTTCCTGGGTGTGATCCCTATGTTCTTCCTGAGCACCGCTAGGGGTCACTGCTGAGCACAGAGCCCCTGAACGTGTGTGTGTGTGTGTGTGTGTGTGTGTGTGTGAGTGTGTATGCAGCCTTCCTAGGCGCAATCCCTATGTTCCCCTGAGCACCGCTAGGGGTCACTACTGAGCACAGAGCCCCTGAAAGTGTGAGAGTGTGTGTGTGTGTGTGTATGTGTGTGTGTGTGTGCGCGCGCGCGTACTTTTTCCACCTCCCTTCCCAAAGTCTCCTCAATGTGTGTGTGTGTGTGTGTGTGTGTGTATGCAGCCTTCCTGAGTGCGATCCCTATGTTCCCCTTGAGCACCGCTAGGGGTCACTACTGAGCACAGAGCCCCTGAGTGTGTGTGAGTGTGTGTGTGTGCCTTTTCCACCTCCCTTCCCAAAGCCTCCTCAATGTCTAGAGCAGAGGGCGACCTTAGCCAGGCTGGACCAAGGTGTCCGAAGGGTCAGGGGGACTGGGACGGGAGGACGCTTCCTACTTCTGACTCCTTGTAGGGCTGTGCCCACCATGGGGGGCCGCCCGGTGCCAGGGCAGTACCTGGACCATATGCAAAGGTCAAGGGATCCAGGAGGGAGACCCAGGAGGGGTCGTGGGGGGTGGGGGGAGCACAGGGGGCCGGGCTGGTGCTCACCGCAGGCTCAGTGGGCTGGCGGTGAAGTTGGACCGGAGCAGCACGGTGGCACTGAAGGGCTGGCCGGGCCTCACAGGCCCATCAGGTACCCGCAGCGTCACCGCATCGTCCAGGGGCACCTCCTGGTGCTGCGGGGGCGCGGCCGGGCGCAGCTCCACTCCGCCGATGGGGAGGGCTTGGTCCCTAGGGTCCGTCTCCACGCCGGGCCCGCAGCCCCCGGGGCCATCGGCGGCCGGTTCTAGGGTGTAGGCCAGCTGGGCGCGGGCAGCAGGGGCAGCTTGGGGGAACCAGTGGGCAGGGAGCTCCAGCTCCACCACGCAGGCTCCCAGGGACGGCTGTGGAGACACGAAGTTTAGGGTTAGGGGGTCCCCAGTCCTGGGGAAGATTCTGGAAAGGTGTGAGCGAGACAACAGTGCCTGCCCGCGTGGATGAAGGCTCCATGTCCCTGGGCTGTGCCTGTCGGTGCCCCTGTGCAAGAATAGTGCCACCGAGGCTGGAGCAATAGCACAGCGGGTAGGGCGTTTGCCTTGCACGCGGCTGACCCGGGTTCGATTCCCAGCATCCCATAGGGTCCCCCGAGCACCACCAGGAGGAATTCTTGAGTATACAGAGCCAAGAAGAACCCCTGAGCATTGCCCGGTGTGACCCAAAATGTTAAAACAAATAAGAATAGTGCCACCACGGCATCTGTCACTGTCACTGTCCTCCTATTGTTCCTCGATTTGCCCATTGTAACGTTTCCATTGTGAGACTTGTTGTTACTGTGCTTGGCATATCGAATACATCATGGGTAGCTTGCCAGGCTCTGCCGTGTGGGCCAGATACTCTCGGTAGCTTACCGGGCTCTCCGAGAGGGGCGAAGGAATCGAACCCGGTTCGGCCAGGTTGGCTGGACGCAAGGCAAACGCCCTACCGCTGTGCTATCGCTCCAGCCCACACCAATGCATCATGCTACCAAAATACTAACACTTGGGCTGATAGAGAATGCCAAGGGTTGAGGCGCCAGCCGTGCATGTGGCCCATCTCATTCCAATCCCCAGCACCCTTAGCCCCCAGCAAAGCCAGGAGCAGCCTGGGAGAGCCCCCGAGCACCCCTAAGGGGGCTCCAGGAACCATCAGCAGATCCTTGAACCCTCCAGCCTGGGTGGTAGCCAGGCTTCCTAAGTACCACTTGGGAAGTCCTCAACACCCCCTCCGAAGATAAAAATTAAAAAGCAAAATGCTCACACCCTTGGAGCGACTGCACTGGGCCAGGCTGTGCCCAGGGTTTTCCTTGCAGATACCCTGCCCTTTCTTTCACTTCCTACAGGGTGCGATTGTCATGCCCCCATTTTACAGCTGGGAAGACTGAGCCTCAGAGAGATTACGTGGTACAAAGCACCTGGCCCACCCTCTGGGGCCCCATGAAAGTCATCAGAGCAGGGACAGAGTCAGGCACCCCCCCACACTCCTGCAAGCGGGGAGTCCCGTCCTTCTGACCCCAGGACCAGCCTCCTTCTAGTGGCTCACCTGGAAGCGGCAGGCGTGGTGCACGGTGCCCATGGGGTGTGTGGCATGCAACCGGGCGCAGGGCAGGCTGCCAGGCCCTGGTGGCCAATCCTGCCCTTTGAGGTGAAACAGGACGCGGGCATGGGGCTCAGCCGGGGTCACAGCCGCCTCCACAGACACGGCCCGGACATCCCACGGGACCGGCCGCTGGTGGGGTTCAGTGGCCTGAGGAGGAACCACCTGAAGGGAGACAGGAGACATTAGACTTGGCAGGCGCGGGGGTACGCAGTGGGGGTCTGAGGACACAGGGTGCCAGGGTACCACCGGCAGGATGGTCCTTAATGGGCCTCAGTTTGCCGCTCTGGGAAATGGGTCGCAGTGCGAGGGCCGAGGAAGGTCCCCCAAGCCCCACGCAGCAGACCTGGCTTTGGGGTGACCCTCCCCACCCAGGTACCCCATGTCCCTGGCCTGGCCGCTCACCTGCTGCGTTGCAAAGGGCGGGTAGGAGGCACGGAGCAGCGGCTGGGCGCGGGGCCAGGGCTGCAGGAGCAGAAAGGTCTCGGCCCGGGAGCCCAGGGAAGAGTTGGCCGGCGGGTACTGGCCTACTTGCTGCACGCGGAAGTGCTCAGGGGCGTCCAGGAGTTCCAGAGCGGCCGGCAGGTAGACGGAGTCCAGGGGGTCTGGCTCGCAGCCCACTGAAGGGGAGAGAGGGGAGCGGTGGGGGGGGGATTCCCCACTTCACAGGTGCAGGGGACTCCCCCCTCCCCGCCTCCTGTGCTGGCCACTTGGTGACACCCCCCCCCATCAGACGGGGCCACTCCCTCCTCCTGCTGGGACCCTTCCCTCCCCCACTTCCGCCCACCTCCTGGCCCCCTGCCCCCACCATTTGTGGGGTTCAGCCCCTCCCCGGGTCAAGCTGGTAAAGCCAGGTGAGCTGTATAGCAGCAGAGGCCCCTCTGCTGGCTCTGGGCACCACCACCCCCAACACCAGAGCACCCTCACACTGTTCCCAAACTTGTCTCCCTTCTCCCTGGGTATTGGGGTGCATGAGGGGGACTGGATGGGGGGGCAGAAACCCGGGGCAAGTGTCAGCCATGTAAGCACTTAAAGGGTCAAGGACCAATGAGGCCATGTTTGCTTTATATCAACTATGAGTTGGCTACAAAAAAAGGTGATAATTCCAGGGGCTGGAGCGATAGCATAGAGGGTAGGGTGTTTGCCTTGAACACAGGCGACCTGGGTTCGATTCCCAGCATCCCATATGGTCCCCCGAGCACATGCCAGGAGTAATTCCTGAGTGCAAAGCCAGGAGTAACCCCTGAGCATCGCCAGGTGTGACCCAAAAAGAAAAAAAAGTGATAATTCGGGGCCAGAGAGAGAGACAGCATGCAGTGTGTGTGACCCTCAGCAGCTTCCAAACCTCTATTCCCCACCCCCCCCCCCACCCCCCAGCCTGGAGCCAGGAATAAGCCCTGAGCACCATCAGGTGTGACCCAGAAACAAACACAGTGACAATTAAATGGGGGGTCGGGGGTGGAGTGTGCTCTGCTTAAACTATCTTGGACAGTCGTTAACCCTTTCCATTTTGGTCCTAACTGAGAACGAGGTTTCACTACTGTTTAGTAAACCCCCTCTTCGATGGATGGAAAAAATCGGGGCTGAGAGGATAAAGTGGCTTTTGCCATCTCAGAGCTCAAGATGGGTAGGACAATTGCCTCCTCCCCCTCTCCACTACACCATGCAACAGGGAGCAAGCTGACATCACTCCTTATCAGGGACTCCCCTTCCCCACCTGGTGGCAGTGCCCTCCTCCTCCTTCAGGGTCAGGAGTGAATGCTACCTCCTTCAGAAAGCCCTCCTTGATTGCTTGCCTCCCACTGGCCCCCTTGACTCTGACATCCCTGCCTCCCCGCACACCCCCCGCTACTCTAAAACAACGACAGTCCTTCCAGAGCGTTCTCCATGGGAGCCTGGTTGAGACCCACATTTCCTCCCGGCCGGGCAGGGCTCCAGGACGCCTGGGTTTAAATCTGTCACCTGTGGAATAGCACCGCCACCACCGACCAGGGCCTGGGAGTGGGTGGGGGGCGGGTGTCAGGAGGGGGTGGCGCCTGCCGCCTAATGGATGTGACGAGGCTTCCCTCCTCTCTCTCCCCGCCAGGGGTTATTATAGGCTGGGGCGTGGGGGTCCCCGGGGGAGGGGAGCAGGTGGTTGAAAGCAGCCCCTGAGCCAGTTCCCCACCCCCCAACCCTTACTGGCGCTGCTAGCCTGGGGCACTTGAGGGTTTCAGCCTCCTTTAAGACACCCGGGAGCCTGAGCGGAGCCCTGGGGTCAATTCCCGCATCCCATCCCCAGCACAACAGGTGGGTGAGCGGGCGCCCGGGGCAGCCGCTGGCCTCCGACCTCCTCCTCCTCCTCCGTCGCCTGCATAATCACAAGATGCCCCGGGACCCGCCTCGCGGAGATGCCCATCACCCGGGGCCCCGGGTGGAGGCTACGTCCGTGTCCCTCCACTCCTCCGCGGTCCCGTCCCCACGGTACCGCCGTGGGACCCTCGCCCGGGGACCCCGGGACGGGGACCTGGCGCCCCTTCCCCGGCCGGCGGCGGGGAGTCCCCGTAGGCGCTCAGGGAGGGAGCGAGCGGGGCAGCTCCGGAGACCCCCTCGGGTCCGGGCCTCCTCCCGGGGCTGGACGGCGGTGGGTGGGGGACCCGGCTCGGACGCCCCGGGCAGCGAGTGGACAGCCGGCGCGGGGCGCACGGGCTGGCGGCCGCCGGAGGGGCAGCTCGCGGAGGAGGTGGGGAGGCGGCGATCGCCCGGGGTCCCCGCGCCGGTCCCGGTCCCGGTCTCGGTCTCGGTCCCGGTGCGGATCCCGCCAGACGCTGCCCGACGGGGCCAGCGAGGGACGCACGAGGGACACGAGCGCGCGCGCGCGGGCGGCCGGACCCCCCGCGCGCCAGCGCCGGACGCGCCGCGGGGCGATCCAAGCGGGGCTCGGTCCCCGGGCACCCCCAGGGCCTCCCCGCGCGTCCCCCCTCCGCTGACCTCTCCCGACGTCCAGGGCCAGCAGGGTCAGCAGCTGCAGCAGCGGCGGCAGCAGCCGGCGGCGCCCCCGGGCGTCCGCGCGCCCCGCCGTGCGGCCGCACATGGTCCCGCGGAGGGCGGCGTGCGGGGGGCGGGCGGCGGGCGCCCCGGGTCCCCCGCTGCCCCTGCGCCCCGGGTCCCCCCGCTGCCCCTGCGGCCGCCCCGCCGCGGCGGTGCCCAGACAATGGAGCGGGAGCCCGAGCCCGGCCCGGCGCGGGCGAAGGCAGGGGCGCCGCGCTCGCCGCCCGCCGGGTCCTAGTGCCCCGCAGATCCCGCCCGCCCCGGCGCCCGCCCTCCCGCCCGCCTGCTGGGACCCAGGGGGCACCCGGGATGGGGAGGTGGGGGGGACGGGAGGAGGTGTCCTCCTCGGAAGCAACGTGGGAGCCACTCCCTCCACAGCCTCGCGTGCTCGCAGAGCAGGCCTCCTCGGGCACCGGACTCAGAACCACAGTCCTGGGACATCCCCCCTAAACCCTCCCACCCGCCCCCTCCAGGCTGGGCATCGCAGAAAGGGGCGGGGGGGGGGGGGGCAGCCCCAGGGCCAGGGGAGCTACGAAGGGCTGGGCTGGCAGGTCGGGGCTCCCTGCCCAGCCCTGGCAGCAATGTGTGGAGGGGTCCGGCTGCACTTGGTCATACCCTGGGCTGCTTGCAAAGGACCTCCTCATACCCAAGCAGAGGGCAGAACGGGGTGTGTGTCGGGGGATGGGGCAGGCAGGGGAGGAAGTAGGCCACCAGAGGGAGGGCAGCCTTTGGCAGTTCCAAAACCGGCTGGGGTTCCCCCACTCCCGAGCCCAAGGCTGCTGTGGTCAGTTCCTGCAGGTTCTGAGACAGTGGAGGGAGAGGGTCTATGCCTTCCTCACCCTTCATGCTCCTGGGGGGGGGGGGGGGAGGGAAGGTTCCTGGTACCAGCATGTCTTGGGGCTCCCCCCTCTCCCCTTTTTACCAGTTGCACCCTGGTCCTGCCATGGGATGGGGGGGTGGAGGGTGGGGGTGGGAGTGGACTTATCTGTGGACAGAGAAAAATCAAAGCCATCCAAGACTCGGGGCAGATACCTTTCATACAGACGGGACGAGGCCAGTAAAATAGCGTGCACTTTATTGAAAACCAAACCAAGCGCTGATAAAAAATATATTATCGCTGCAGCTGTGACTCCACATCAAACCTGAAGGGGCAGGCTGGGCCCGGATTCATGCTTCACCTCGGGGTGAAGGGGAGACAGCTTACCCGAGCAGGGCCGCCCAAGCACGCGGGCACACCCCACACGCGTGGGCACAGCCGAGCGGGCAGGGACAGGCACATGGGGTGCCTCCTGGGAGCTGGGGTGGCCTTGATCAGCAGCTCCCAGGGGGCCAGTGGGGGCGGGAGCAGGAGGGGGACCCCGGTTAGCGGTGTCACCAGGAGGCCCCTTCCTCTGGAGCACCCCCTAGGGGTGGGGGGATGTCTGATGGCCACCGTAGTGGGGGGGTGTTGTTTCTTCCCGTTTTGAACAGCCACAGCTGCATACAGTACACGCGGGCAGCTGGCCCGGGATGCTTAAGGCACTTGTAAAAGACTCTAGTGTGGACGTCCCGGCCAGGCCCAGGGAGCTGCCTTCCTCTTCCCCTTAGCATCTAGGGGACCTGTCCCCTCCCCACCCCGCCGAGGAAGCGGGAGTGGGTGGGGAGCCCCACCTGGCAGACGCACACAGTGGAGCTGGGGGCTTGGCCAAGGAGAAGCTAGAAGCTGGGGGAGCGAGAGCGTCCCCGCGGGGAAGGCAAGGCAGCAGCGGAGCGGGGCTGGCTGAGGGCCCCAGAGCGGTGCTGAGGGGGACGGGACGCGGGAGCCCCGAAGAGGAGGAGGAGGAGGAGGAGGAGGAGGAGGAGGAGGAGGAAGAGGGGAAGGAGGAGAAGGATGAGGAGGAGGAGGGGGAGGAGGAGGAGGAGGAGGAGGAAGAGGGGAAGGAGAAGGATGAGGAGGAGGAGGGGGAGGAGGAGGAGGAGGGGGAGGAGGAGGAGAAGAGGAAGAGGAGGAAGAGGAAGAGAAGGAGAAGGGGAGGAGGAAGAGAGGAGGAGGAAGAAGAGGAGGAAGAGGAGGAGGAGGTGGAAGAAGAGGAGGAGGAGGAGCGGAGCTGGACAAAGTGTTAAGAGCACCAGCCCAGGACAGAACCTCGGACCACAGGGCTCTGAGACAGCCGAGCAAAGGCAACTGGGGGGGGGGGGGGGCTGCTTCTCCCTCAGCCCAGCGGGAAGGGGGTCTGGTGCGAGGGTGCAGGCCTGGCAAGGCAGGGGGCGGGGCCCGGCAGGAGGGGCGGGGCCCAGAAGGAGGGCCACGCCCCCCGGAAGCAGCGGAGCTCTTTGGTTAAGACGCAGGCAGCCGCCAGCCAGCCCGGACGGGATCACTCCTCCTCGGCACCCCGGGGCCCCTTGGCCGCCCGCCGCTGTCGCCAGCGCAGCTCCTCCACCTGGCGCTCCAGCCCTCGCACCTTGGCCTCCAGCTGGGTCCCCGAGGCCCGGGTGCCCGTGAGGCGGCTCAGCAGGGCGTAGAGGGTCAGCAAGGCCAGCAGCAGCAGGGCCCGCGTGGACGGGTCCGGCACGGTGCGCACCAGGGCCACAAAGGCGGCCAGGAAGAGGACGAGCTTCAGGCCCCAGAGGATCCGCCCCAGCAGGGCCAAGACCAGGCCGAGGAGCAGGGACAGCAGCCAGTAGGCCACCAGGGCGCCCGCGCCCCACAGCAGGAAGGTCTGCACCTGGGCAGGGCTGAGCTTCAGGTCCTCGGTCAGGCGGTCTCCTGCAAGGGGTGAGAGCCACAGAGTCAACACGACTGACCCCGGGGAAGCGGGACGGTGGGACCACCCCGGGCCCTGGCACCCCCGCCCAGCCCCCTGCCCGGGAAGAAGGTCTGTGAGCTGCGGGCAAGTGGCAGAAAAGTGGCAGGCAAGGCCCACACCTGGCAGGCGCCTGGGGAGGAGTCTGAACCCGGGAAAGGTGGACCCCACTGCTGGGGTGGGATGGGCGAAGCCTCCACCCCCACCAAACCAGATCTCAGCCTGCCACCCCCAAACCACGTCCCTCGCCATCACTCACCGTCCAGCCCCAAGGCACTCAGCAGCTGGGCAGAGATCCCAGACAGGGCGAAGAAGGCCACCGAGATGGCCGAGGAGATGGCCCACAGCACCTGCGTCAGGGTCTGTAGAGGGGAGAGAGGGCGGGCGAGGAGAACATGCTCACGGCCACTCTCTGTTGCCCAGGATGGCCAGCCAGCAGCGACGGTTCCTGACGGGTGCCGCATGCCCCTTCCTGGCCCAGGTGGAGGACACAGGACGCCCAAACTGGAGCCAGGATGGCTGGGTCCTAACTCAGCCTGTCTGCTAGGATGTCTGGGTAGTGAGGACAGTTAAAACAAAAAAAAAGGAATGCACGAGAGATCAAATCCCTGTAGGAATCATTCTGAAGAAATGGAATCCTGTGTGTGTGTGTGTGTGTGTGTGAGAGAGAGAGAGAGAGAGAGAGAGAGACATACATACAGACAGACAGACAGACAGACATGAGAGACAGCTCAAATCCCAGAGTCTGTGTGTGTGTGTGTGTGTGAGAGAGAGAGAGAGAAAAGAATCTCTGATTCCAGAGTCTCTGTGTGTGCATGCGTGTGTGTGTGTGTGTGTGTGTGTATGTGTGAGAAAGAGACAGACAGAGAGAGAGAGAGAGAGAGAGAGAGAGAGAGAAGGATCTCTGATCCGGAGTCTGTGTGTGTGTGTCCCTCCTAGCCAGAAGGCAATCAGCAGGAGCAGGAAGGAACTCCAAAGACTCAAATCAGTTTGGCCAGCTTTGGGGTTTGGAAAGAAATCCTCGTGGCAGTCAGTCACTGTGACCCCATCCAGCCTTGGGGGGGGGGGGGGGCGCTTCACCCCTAGTCAGCACCGCCCACCCCCCACCCCCACGCCTCTCTAGCTCTTCACCCTCTGCCAATGGGGACTCTGGGTCAGAGGTAGCCCCAAGGCAGGCCCTGTCCTCACCCAGTTGGATGGGTTTCGGCAGGTGGCTCCGCTCCCAGCCTTTTCGACAAGAAAGGGCAGGAAAAGGGAAAGCGGGTGTGGCTGTGGCTGGCCCCGGGGCAGGAGTGGGCCGGTGAGCACCAGGGGGAGCTATTACCTGGCCTCACTGGGGGAAGGGTGCCAGGGATTCTGGATCGAGACCCGCAGAAGAGGAGTGAGGAGCAGGGTGACCAGGAGGGCACCCGCCACCATGCTTGTGTTTCATCGCTGGCACCCAGTATTCGCATTTCCCAGAGCCAGGAGTGGGCCCTGGGCACCGCTCCCCAAAGAGAACAGGGTGACCCGCCCCGAAGAGCTTACCTCGGACACCACGTGCATGGTCTCGGGCCCCACCCAGTCATCCAGCGTGCCCCGTACTGAGCGGCCCATCTGGCTCAGGACGTCCCCGGGGACCTCCCTCTTGCGCTGCTGGCCCTTTGGGGGCGGGAAATCCTGATGGGACTGGGCCGACGCGGTGTGCAGGGAGATGAGTGCCAGGAGGCCCAGCACCACTGCCACTCTGAGGAGACACCTGGCCCACGGCGACACGCTGCCTGAGCCCAGCATGGCTGCGTCTGTATCTGCGGGGGAGAGGCAGGGTGAGCCCGCTATGCCACGCCGGAACCTGGTGTAGCTCCCACCCGCCCCGACACCCTTGCCCGAACCCGCCCCAGTCGCTGAGAAAGGCAGAACTGAAGCTTTCTTTTTTTTAAGTACTTTTTTTGGGGAGCAGGAGGGGTGTCCCTCCCCAGGGGTGCTGGGAGTCACTGGGGTCACATTCTGCAGTGCTCAGGAGGCCTCGGAGTGCCCGGGGGTGCAAGGCCAGGCCCTGTGTGGGTCACGCACTGGCACCTGCCCTTTGAGTGAGCTCCCAGGCCCCAGAACTGGGATTTTCATCCCTCCCCTATTGGACAAAGCATCTGAACCACATTCTTCACCGCCAGCGTATTAGTTACCGCCAGAGATCGCTCTAGGGCTTCTTCCAGTTCTAAAACCCAAGACCCAAGGACGGAGCGATAGTACAGCGGGTAGGGCGTTTGCCTTGCACATGGCTGACCTGAGTTCAATACCTGGTATCCCATAGGGTCTGCCAAGCGCCACCAGGAGTAATTCCTGAGTGCAGAGTCAGGAGTAACCCTGGAGCATCACTGGGTGTGACCCAAAAAGCAAAAAAATAAAAAATAAGTAAAACCCAAGGCCTGTCTCTGTCTTAGGTATTACAGGCATTGCGGGGAAAAAAAAGGTCTAATCCACCCCAAAATTACCAACAACTGAAGATAAGCTGAGATGGTGAAAAAGGAAATCTCACCCACCAGGAGAGCTGGCAGGAATGCTGCCTGATTCAACCCCTTTAAAAAACAGCATGCAGGCTTCTCAGGCTAATCAAGACAGAGCTACCATATGGTCCAGCAATTGCACTTCTTGGTAACTACTCCAGGACACAAAAGTATTCATTCAAAAGACATATACACACCATTTTTCACTGCAGCACTCAGCATAATAGCTGGAATCAGGAATCAATCAGAGTGCATAGTAACAGATAACTGGATAATTAAAGAATGGTACAGCTATGCACAATGGAATACTACGCAGCTGTGAGGATGGATGGAATCCCTCATTTTGCTGCAAGTTGGATGGAAAGTATCCGTGTTATGTGAAGTGAGTCAGAAGAACACAAATACTTGATGACCTCACTTATCTGCGGTATATAAAAGAATAATAGGAAGTGGGAGGACATGAAGTCTAAGTGGGGGATGCCCAGACCACCCTTGGCCTTTGAATGTAGGAATGAAGACAAGGGAAGAAAGAAACTGTGGGCAGTTATCAGGGGTGAGGTTCAGGGATCTCCAGCACATGGGGAGTGTAGAGATGACGTGTCTATATCTAAACTAGAGAGCCACCCTGACTGTTAAGTACAAACCCCAAACCTCAAAAATCAAATGTAGGGGCTGGAGAGATAGCACAGCGGGTAGGGCGTTTGCCTTGCATGCGGCCGACCCGGGTTCGATTCCCAGCATCCCATATGGTCCCCGAGCACCACCAGGAGTAACTTCTGAGTACAGAGCCAGAAGTAACCCCTGTACATCGCCAGGTGTGACCCAAAAAGCAAAAAAAAAAAAATCAAATGTAAAAATATGCCTGGCAAGGAGGCAGATTTATTTGGGCAAAGGGTGAGAAACTGGGAAGGGGGGGCGACACTGGTTGACACGCTGGTAGGGGGACTGATGTTGGAACACTGCAGGCCTGAACCCCATCTCAGTCTGTAAATCAGTAAAAGCTGAGATAAGAATAAAAGCAAACCAAAACCAAAAAAAAAAAAAAAACTGAAAAATTGCACGGTAGCCAGAGAGGCGTCCAGAGACTGAGGTGCATCCGCCCTGCATTCTGCCGACGCTGAAAGAGGAGCAGCTCAAACCCCCAACTCCACATATGGTTCCCCCTGCACACGGAACCAGGAGTGAGCCCTGGGCATAGCTGGCTGTGACTCAACACCCCCGTCCTCCCCCCCACATACCCCCAAATAGTCTACTTTTCCAGTGTACAGTGATGTCACTTACATGCTCAAATAAGAACCTAAGTGACAAACACACCCACCAAAAAAAAAAAAAGAGGACAAAAAGACAGAAAAAGAAAAAGTGGAGGGGCTGAAGTGATAGCACAGCGGGTAGGGCGTTTGCCTTGCACGCGGCCGACCCGGGTTCGATTCCCAGCATCCCATATGGTCCCCCGGGCACCGCCAGGGGTAATTCCTGAGTGCATGAGCCAGGAACAACCCCTGTGCATTGCCGGGTGTGACCCAAAAAAAAAGCAGAAAAAAAAAAAAAGTGGCGCGAAGGAGACAGCTCCCAGGGCTGGAGAGCCTGCTTCCCGTGACGGGGTCCAGGTTCCTTCGCTGGCGACACTCAAGTCTCCCCAGCACTACTGAGCCAGCAGTAGCCCTTGGAGCCACGTGGGATGTGGCCCCTAACCAAAGGAGAAAAGCACCTGAGCGCACACACGCCATCCGCTCCAGGGGAGGTGGTATCAAGGGGTCTGGCCCGCCCCCCCCACCCCCCTGCTGCTGGTACAGATGAGGATGGAACTGCCAGACTTAGAAGAAGTTAAACATTTGCTCAGGGTCATGAGGTTGAGCAGCAGGTCAAGGTTTGACCCCAAGTTTCTGCCTCCGAGTTGCCTATTCGGGCACAAAGGGATTAACTACAGTGACCTGAGACTCAACCGTGGTGCTCACTGCAGTCACCCACAGCTCCTGCCTCGTGCGTGGAGGCCGAGGCTTGGACCCAGACAGGATGCCCCAAGTGACTCCACTGTGCCAAAGTGAGAGCCACTGACACAGAAGCACAGAAGGACCTTAGCCCCCCAGCCCCCAACGCCCGCCCAGGGTTAAAGCATGACCTCTTAGGAAAGAGAGTGGGACTCATGAAACCATAGCTCATTTCTGGGTTTGCTTTTGTTGTTTCGGGGGGTCCGTGCCAGGGCAGTGCTCAGGGCTTACTCCTGGCCGGCTTCCGGGGACCATACGGGATGTTGGGGATCTAACCTGGGTCAGTAGCATGCAAGGCAAGCACCACCCCCCCCCCCCTCAACCCCTGGCTGTACTCTCGCTCCAGCCCACCCGCTGATTTTATCCTTTCAATAACTCATCGGGTAGGTACTATCATTTTTCCCCATTTGACTGATGAAGGAGATGTGGAAAATCAGCACAGAAACCAGGATGGGAACCAAGGTGTGTCGGCTATCAGCACCTCCAGTATCACTTCCTTGTGAAGTCTCAGGGGTGATTTAGAAAGTTGCACGGGGCAGTAAGGAGGAGCCCAAACGCACTTGGCATCTACCAACCATCTCCAGGGACCCACGGAACCATTCTGAACTCTGATCCCGTCAGGTAACCCCAATGCCACTGGCGAGAAAACCAGCAAGCACTTGCTCATTGGAGCCGGCTGGAGTCAGGCCAGAACAGCGTACCTGACTCCGGCTGCTACTTGCCGCCACGCTTAAGGCACGTCAACCCCACACCAGTAAAACTTCCCGTTGCTCTGTGGCTCTTCCAGGCTCAGCAGCGAGCCTGGAGCTCCGGGCAGTTTCCATGATGCAGCCCCGATGATCAGAGACTAAGGCAGGCCCCGAAGTAGCAGCAGCAGTGATGGGACCATTGTTTGAAGTCTTGTTTTGAAGCGGTTCCCAGGGCATTCAGGGAGTTGGCTGGAGAGGGCACCACCGGGTTGGAGAAGAGAAAGTCGCTCCCATTCTTGCTCCGCGGGAAGATGCGGGGTCCCGAGAAGAGAATCAGGAAGACCGCGCGTTCTGGACCAGACACAGGTGTCTGGAGTCCCACGGGAGGCGGAGAGGATCAAGCCGGGTCGCAAAAGCCTGCAGGGCGCGACCTCAGGCTGTGAGGCGTTCTAACTCTCTTTTGGCACAAACTGAAAACCAGATGGTTCCTGTCCGCCAGTGGCTCGTGGCTGAGGAAAGCATAGGTCAGTCCCTGTGCTGTGTGGGTCATGGTCCGTGCTGCGGGGCGGGGGGAGGGGAGAGCCCCTGAAGGAACAGGGCTGCCATCCCGGGCGGGATCCTCTATCCCGGGACCTCCACCAGGCAGGCTCAGATGTCGCCTCGTCCTCTGCAGAAGGTCAGCGTGACATGCGCAGCTCCCCCCATGGCTGCCTGCTGCCTCCCCGGCCCGGCCTTGACTTGGAAGCAAGCGGTCAGCTGCCCCCCATCGAAGGGAGCTCGGGGACCTTGAAATAAACCCTCCAGGGGGAAGGCGGCTTCGCGCTGCCAGCTGACCTGACGGGCACCAGAAACAACATCAGCTCTCCGCAGACTGGGCGCCGACATCTGGCCAGTCGGCTTCTTCGAGTTCCATTCCGTTCTTTTCTTCCCTTCCTTCTGTCCTTTCTTTCTTTCTTTCTTTCTTTCTTTTTTTTTTTTTTTGATTTTTGGGTCATACCCAGCGGTGCTCGGGTCCTACAATTCCTGACTCTGCAGTCAGGAATCCTTCTTGGCGGGCTGGGGGGGGGGGAGGGGGGACCATACGAGGTGCCAGAGATCAAACCCAAGCCAGGCGCGGGCAAGGCGAGCGCCCAACCCCCGCTGCCCCCTTTCGAGTTCTTGCCTTGCATATGCTCTCTTTTCTGCCAGGTCAACACCAGCCAGCAAGAAACTGAGCTGGTGCCACTGCGCCTCCTCACTGGGGCCCGGTCACATGCTTTTATCGAGAGAGAACTGGCACTAATCGGGAGCCCACGCCAACATCGGCTCGGCCAGGACACTTGTCATGACAGCCGTAACCTCCTGCCTCAGCTGGCCTTCCAAAATCCCATGGGGGGTACTACCACCTCTTCCAAAGGGCTGGCCACTCCACCCGCTCCCTGAACTCTTGCATCCATCTTCTCCTTTTTTTTTAAAATTTAATTTATTTATTTATTTATTTATTTGCTTTTTGGGTCACACTGGCGATGCACAGAGGTTACTCCTGGCTCTTCACTCAAGAATTACTCCTGGCGGTGCTCGGGGGACCATATGGGATGCTGGGAATCGAACCCGGGTCGGCCGCGTGCAAGGCAAACGCCCTACCCACTGTGCTATCCCTCCAGCCCCAAATTTTTTATTTTATAAAGTAGTTCTCAATATTTGATTACATTTAATATTCAAACACCAATCCCACCACATTCCACCTTCCCACCACCATTTTTCAGGTGTTTCCATCCCAAACCCCAATCTGCCCAAGCAGCACCCAAATAATATATTTCATAGTTTGTTATGAACAAAAGCTGAAAAATGCTCAAAAAACAAAAAAAAGGCAATCCTTAGAGGAAAGAGTGTGAAGATTGAAGATTGTTGTTGGGTTTAATGGTCCCTGGGTGAAATATAACAATCTGATCCATCTCTTCAGCTGTAAGCTTAGAGGACGGGTCCCTTTTTTTTTTTTCCCTCCGAAACATCTGACTTAGATCCAAGGAACAGTCAAGGTCCCACAAGAGCGCTGGGACTTGACCCGCCAGCCCTGGATGTTTAAACCTCACATCACCTACCTCACCCTCACCCGGCCTTGGGATCTCTGCCCTCCGGGAGCCTAGAGTTCTGCTAAATATCACCAGCGGCCAGAGTGGGAGGACACCTGGGTGCCCAGCAGAAGACCCGGCACCCAGGGATGACACGGCTTCCAGATCCCGGCTCTGGACCAAGAAGTGCCAGGCAGGGCCGGATGCTGGCCAGAGACCTACCCCTTCGCTTCAGGCAGGGCCAGGCAGGGGAATCGGGCCGAGCTGGGGAAAGGGCTGCGAGCACTCTGGGCCAGGCAAAGCACAATGTGTTTATCTGCAGTTTGCTGAGAGAGAAGGGTGGGGCGTTGCAAACAGCCCGGCCCAGAGCCCAGCGGCCCTCCTCCTACCCTCCGGCTTCCTTTCGCCTATGAATCACTACTTGGTGGGCGGGGCGCTGGCTTCGGGCCCTCTGCAGGACCAGATTTCCCCTGCAATGCTCCAGGCTGCCCCCATCGGGGTCCTTCTCAACCGCAGCGACCTCAACTGGGCGGCCCCAACCCTTCCTTCCGTTTGAAGGGGTCCACCTGTCCAGGCGGCTTCCGGAGGGCTCTCGGGACGGCTGATGCAGAGCCAGACGGCGGCCACAAACCACCACGAAGAGAGCACGGGCAAAGAGCCCCACACCCCTCCTCCCAACACACCCTCCAAAGTGCGGCAGCGGGTACAAAGCACCCTAGACGTGCTCCAAGGGTCGGTTCCATCACACAGGATGATGGAACTTACTGAGCTGGGCTGGAGAAGTTAAGCGGTGTGAACAGAGACTGCAAGGAGCCAACTGCAGCAATAAACTTTCCAAACGGTGAAAACGTGCACAGGACTGTTGCGGGACCCAAATCACCAATATCCAACCCTTAGGACTTGGAGGCATGACCTAACCGCTCCCAAATCATCTCCTACTGACTCCGGGCACCTCTGTCAAGACTCTGCACCTAACCTTTCTGGAAACAGAGAACGCCCAGCACGGAACAATGACTAACCAATGCTGTTTAAGGGACCGCTGGAGGCCCGCCAAGAAACCCGCAGAGTTAGTTAGGATGAAGGGCTGGGGGGGGGAGGGCGCTTGTTTTAAACGGTGCCCCATCCACTCCGCAATCTCCCGGGCACAGCTGCGTGCAACAGAAGCTCCTGGACCCACGGAGCTGCCATGAAGCAGCGTTCTGGCATTTGGGGGCGGCCTCCGCTTAAGCCCCTGACAGCTGCTGCCCAGCAACTATGTGTGGGCAGGGCGCCGGGCAAAGGGGCAAGCTCCCTGGGCGCAGCCACCCCGAGACCGGGTGTCAGCCGCAAGTGCTATTTCGAACACCGGGTCCCCTGCCAACTGCTGCTGGGTGGCGTCGCTGGCAGGGGATGCGTCTGAAGCCTAGAAGTTGGGGTACCCCCGAAGAGCTCCGAGGTGCGCGGAGGAATGGGAGGGGGCGCAGGGAGAGGGCAAAGGTGCAGCGGAGGTCGGGCACTGAGCCTCTGCCGGACCTCCCCACTGCGCTCGGAACTCTTCTCCCAGGAAACACGAAACTTCCCGTTGCCTAGGAGCGACGCCCCCTGTTGCATAGCAACGAGAATCCCGGTTTCTCCCACCCCACCCCACCCCGCCACCAAGTTGCTTCGCCCGCCGCGCGACGTCCGACCCCTCCCCGGCCGTGCCCGCCAGGCCCCGGAGTCCCCCACGCTGCTCCCGCCTGCAGCGGCTGCCGACCACCGCACCCCCGCGCGCTGTGCCCCCGCCCGCTCTGGGCCCGCACTCACCGGGCTCCGGCCACTGCTAGCCTTCACGTGCCACTCCGCTAGAACGCGCCACCAAACCCGCGCCTGCACTCCCGGGCGTTGGTTTTGGGTCTGCGCATGCGCGGGGCGGGCTGCGCCCGGGCCCGGGCTGGCTCCCCGACGGCCCGCGCGCCGGGTCGTGGGCGCATGCGCACTTCCCGCCTCCCGGGGTGGGGCGTTCTCGCCACCCCGCCCCTCCCCCAACTCCGGCACCCCCACCGGGAGGAAAAATTAAATGGGACAGATTTGTGCAGGTCATGGAAAACTCGGATAGGGAAAGGAAAGAAGCGGTTGTCTGTGGGTCCAGAGAGTGGGTAAACTGGTCCTTTGCATTCAGGGGCGCCCCGCGGCATGCTGGGTAATGTAGTTTCTCCCGGCTGGGGCATTGTGGGAAATGTAGTTTCAGGGAAAGAGGCGCCCTAGCACACACCTGTTCTTTTTGAGAAACTTCGCGCTCAAAAACATACAAAGGAAAAACGCGTCAGCCAAACGGGAGAGGCTCACGGTGCTAGGAAACGGGCCCGCCCCCTCTGAGAACTGGTCTACGCCCGACTTCTGCAGGCGGCTGCGGAACGTTTGCTCAGTTCTTGCAAAAAGCAAGAAAGGAGTTCTTAGTGAACACCCTTTTCTACAACCAAGGCAGCTTGAAGGGAGCGGGGAGACTTAGAAAGCTGTCGTGGCAGCTTTGGGATCCTTGGCAGGGTCGCTTCATTTCTTTGGGCTTCCACATAGCTTTGGCTTAGCCATGAAGTTCTAGTTGATGGCACTTTCCGGTTCGGGAAATATCTATTTCACTGTCCAGTAGGTGCACGGTCATTGACGTAAAGAGAGTCAATGGTCTGTTTGCAATCCGTGTGGCTGAGATTTATGTCGCCGTTGTTGGCTGTCGTTGGAAAGTTCCCCTTTGATGGTCAAACTTTCTTGAAACTTCCCTATCTCAAAAACGAGATTCCCTTGCTGATGGAGGGACAGTACAGCAGGTAGGGCATATACCTTGCAGGCGGTTAGCCTGGGTTATATCCCTTGCACCCCATAATATCCCTGAGCCAAGCCAGGAATGATCTCTGAGCGCAAAGCCAGGAGAAAGCCTCGAGCACCGTCAGGTGTGCCCCTCCCCCCCAAAATAAAACAACAGAAAAACAAACAAACAAACGAAATGGAATTCTTTCCCTTCTGAATCAGCTATCCAACCCTGACATCACATTACCAAGCTGTCATTTGTCCTGCGGCTTCTTCTGTTTGTTTGATGTTCCTGAGACTCTTGGACTCACTCCTTCCTGCATCGGTGGAGGGTCTTTCTTCCAGAAGAGGCTCTGTAATGGCCTCACATCTCCTGCACATCTACAGCTCTGCCTTGGCTTGTGGGCTTGCTTCTGTTCTGCAGCATTACAAGACCCCTGGCTCAGACTTTTTCCTGCAAGAAATTTCAGTTTGGGGGCTGGAGAGATAGTACAGGGGGTATTTCCTTACATACAGCTGATCTAGGTTTGATCCCCAGCACCGTATGGCGTCCCTTGAGCACAGCCAGGAGTGAACCCTGAGACACAGCTAGAAGTAAGCCCTGAGCATTGACAGGTGTGAGCAACCCTCTCCCCAGAGAGAGAAATGTGTTTTTCCTATTTCATTCATTTCTCTTTATGTTCTCTGGCATATCAAATACTCTCGGTAGCTTGCCGGGCTCTCCGAGAGGGGCGGAGGAATCGAACTCGGGTCGGCCATGTTGGCCGCTTGTAAGGCGAACACCCTACCTGGGCCCGCTCGAGCAAATCGACGATCAACGGGAGGGCCTTTACTTTACTTTACTTTACTCTCTTTATGTTCTCTAGTGGTATAAATTGTCTCAGTCATCTGGGGGTCTCCCACCCCACCCCCACCGCCAGGCAGGTTGTATACCTTTTGGGAAAAATACCCAAGGACCTCTGGTTACCTTGGGGAGATTGTCTAAAATCTTGTTGATTTGGGGTTTTCAGACCCTACCTAGGGGTGCTCAGGAGTAATCCTTATGGTATTTGGGGGATTTACATAGTGCTGGAGATTTTTTTTTTATAATTTATTTATTTATTGAATCACTGTGGGAAAAGTTACAAAGCTTTCAGGTTTAGGTGTCAGTCATGCAAATATCAAACACCTTTCCCTTTACCAATACTTATTTTTTACCACGAAGAACCCCAATAAAACCCCACCCCCACCCCTCCCAATGCCTGCCAGGCAGATGAATTCTAGTTGACACTCTATCTGCTTTGGTTAGATTCATTGTTTCAATAAAAGATGCACCACTATTATTTAGAGTTTACCCTCTCCCCCCAGATCAGACATGCTGAGAAAGCATTGTGAAGTGATTTGCTTTCTACAGCTGGGTTCAAGAATTAAATGTTGGTTTTGGATTTCCGCAATTTTGCTAATTAACCCTGGAAGTATTTCTACTGAGAGTCAGATAATTAAGAGATTGGTTTCTGTGCTCTGGAGTCGTGGCCGTGCTGGTGAGCAGCTCGTGGGAGGCAACTGGTGGCCTCGGTAGGGCGTGAAGGACGGACTGGAACGCCCCCCTTCCCATGAGGTTTTAGTCGCCCCCACACCCCCGGCTCACACCTGCTCTCCACAAGGCACCCATGTGGTCACCATCTTCTTTCCAGAGAGAAGAGGGTGAATGGGGCAACACCCTTTCCCCTCCGGGCAGACATGATGGCCTGGATTAACGCATAGTACGTTCACTTTTCTGCTCCAAGCTGCCGGGTTCTGCATTAAGTCCTTGTGCTTCTGGGTCCGTGGCCGTGCTAGAGAGCCGCTCGTGGGGGGCAACTGGTGACCTCGGTAGGGCGTGAAGGACGGACCGGAACGGCCCCTTCCCATGAGGTTTTTGTCGCCCCCACACCCCTGGCTCATACCTGCTGTCCACAAGGCTCCTATGCGGCTGCCATCTTTCTTTCCAGAGGGAAGAGGGTGGAAGGGAGCAACACCCTTTCCCCTCCAGGCAGACATGATGGCCTGGATTAACGCATAGTACGTTCACTTTTCTGCTCCAAGCTGCTGGGTTCTGCATTAAGTCCTTGTAGTGCTGGAGATTTAAATCACGCTCCGTTGCATGCAAAGCCAGCACCTTAATCTCTGAAAAGTCTTTCTGGTAATTCAAAACCTCCTTGTTTTGAATTACCCAATCCTGTGTAACGTGTCCACACAGGTGACCTCTCACTCCACTTGGGACATGGAGCTGTTTGTGGATTACTGATCGACTGATGTATCCCCTCTCTCTCCCCTAGCAGTGGTGGTAGTAGGATCTTCCTGGAGAAGTAGGTTAGGGCTTTTCTCTCCCAAGAACTGGGCACAGAATTCTTCCTCTTGGGACCCCTTTCCCAGCCTGGAGAAGGTCCGTCTCCTCTCTGGGCAGGTTGAGAAGCTGGGGTGGGGATCAGAAGCCATGTTCTTACCTGGAATATTCACTCCAAAATTGATTGCTCTGATTCCTCTCTGTTCCCTGAAGGACTGACTTTTGAAACACAAAACCAGTGGGAAAAGAAAGAAAAGAAAGCAAAAAGGGGGGCTGGAAAGATGGTACAGCAGGGAGGGCGCTTACCTTGCACATGACTCACCTGGGCTCCATCCCTGGTATCTGGTCCCCTAAGCACTACCAGAAGTGATCCCTAAGTGCAGAGCCAGGAGTAAATCCTGAGCACAACTAGGTGTGACCCCCAAACCACAAACCCCATCTCTAAAAACCCTCAATGTAGAGCCAGAGTGACAGTACAGAGAACAGGGCGCTTGCCTTGCACATGGCCAACCCCGACTTGTTCCCTGACTTCCCATAGGGTCCCCTGAGCCCACCAGGTGTGAGTCCTAAGTGCAGAATGAGGAGTAACACCCGAGTACCACTGGATGTGACCCTAAAAGATTAAGAACAACAAAACCAGCCCTCAAAAGTTGTGAAGGGGCTCCCCCTTTTTCCTCCACTCTGCAGTTATAGATAGATGCTCCCCAGCAGAGGGATCCCCTGGTTTTGCACCCAAAGGTGGCCCCAATGCCTTGGACAGCATCTGCCTTGCACACAGCAGGTGTCTAATAAGATTTGCCAGGAAAATGACATGTTGCCTCTTTCTCCCTCCCATCTGTCCCCCTGCGACCCCAGAAAGTGTCTTCCAGAGGAATCTTCTGGCACTCTTGTGAGCATAACTCAACGGCAGTATGTTGACAGTCCAATCAAGTCTAACCACTTCTCGTTTGAGGCCCCACCTCACCCCAGTTATTTCCTACCACAGTCAGTTATGCAAGAACCGGCCCATCAGACACCTGCCAGTTCTCCCACAAACCACGGGGCCCAAGTATGCCAGGGGTAGAGTGGGACCTCCAGAAATACTAGTGACCAGAACCTTCCCAGTTCCCACAATCACACAGTTGTCTACCAGGGAACCCACCAAACAGACACTTAGACACAAGTGAGTAAGCAGAGTCACAGGGAGCGGCGTGGAGGAGAATCTCAAGGTGTGGTGGGGGACTGAACCAGCCAAGGGTCAAGAAGGTGCCAGGCGCCAGAGCGATAGTACAGTGTGTAGGGCATTTATCTTGAACATTGCCGACCTGGTTTCAATCCCCAGCATCCCATATGATCCTCCGAGCATTGGCAGGAGTGATTCATGAGTGCAGAGCCAGAAGTAATCCCTGAGCACCAGGTGTGACCCAAAAAAAACAAGAAGAAGAAGAAGAAGAAGAAGAAGAAGAAGAAGAAGAAGAAGAAGAAGAAGAAGAAGAAGAAGAAGAAGAGGAAAGAGAGGAAGTAGAGGAAGTAGAGGAAGAAGAGGAGGAAGAAGAGGAGAAGAGGAGGAGGAGAAGGAGGAGGAGGAGAAGGAGGAGGAGGAGGAGGAGGAGAAGGAGGAGAAGGAGGGGAAGGGGAAGGGGAAGGGGAAGAAGAAGAAGGAGAAGGAGAAGGAGAAGGAGAGGAAGAGGAAGAGGAAGAGGAAGAGGAAGGAGAGGAAGGAGAGGAAGGAGAAGGAGGAGGAGGAGGAGGAGGAGAAGAAGAAGATTATTATTATTATTATTATTATTATTCCAGGGAAAGTGACCTTTGAGGTAAGACGCAAGTTTACTCTGGAAGAGAAGGGGGCAGAGGGAGAGGGACAGAGGAAGGGAGGGGAAGAG